CGATTTTTTCAGATTTTCCAAGACCAGAAATACATTTTTTTTTTGCTGACTTTTTACTATTATTTTTTCCAAATATATAATTTGCGTATATTTATACGATAAATCAATTAAATGTTAAATCATGAAATCCTCGAGATATTTTTGTTAACAATGAAAAAGTTCGGAAGTTAAAAAAACAAAAATTTAAATCAATTATACAATGTGCATTATGTACGATAATTGAAACAAACATGTCACTATAAACTATTTAAATAATTACCTTTTTTATTTATGTTACATTAAATTTTTTAGTTTTGTCTCGATCAAATATACATTGAAATAAAATAACACGACGATGAAAATATAAATTAACGAACACGCTGTAGATGAATCGAATTTTAACACAGAAAATTAGCGGGCTGGAAGTCAAGGAAAAGTTTATATTTATGTAATAAAAATATTCAAATTATTGAGACTAATATAAAATAATGTGAAAAAATCCAGATAAATAGTAAAATTTCCTGACTCTCTCTCTCTCTCTCTCTCTCTCTCTCTCTCTTCCCTGTCAATTTCAAATTTATAAAATTCCCTGACAATGCCCGGTTCTCCAGATTTTCACTAGACACCTTGGTTAATCAAATATTGGAAGTTATTAAAATACGGACGCTACATCAATTGTCATTGGTTGTAAATAGAAAGAGGTCGATTTAGAATAATTTATAATTTATAATACACAGGATGCCTCTCTTTAAATACCACCAAACGCTCTTTCAATTGAAGATAGTGGTGAATAAACGTGGAAAATTAATGATTGCCGTAATAGCGAGGCAATTACAAAGTTTCCGCAGATCTCAACGTGCAAAATTGAAGAGTTTTGGCGAATCAAGTCTCGGTGTGATGTTACAAGCATTTACATAAATTAACATACAGTAGACATTTGTGTTTCTATTACTTTTAAATAATTTTTTATTTAATGGCGAATTAAAAAAAAATAAGAATTACAATATATTAAATATAAAAAAATTTCAGTGGATGATTATTTTTCTCCAAGTATTATCTAAAAAATTGATTAAATATTCAAACTGTTTAAAATAAGATCCGGGAATTCTAAAATATTCTGCAAGTCGAACGATTCGTTGAAATGTATTTCATAATGACAGCGATGATTTTGCTTCCGCAGTAATGAAAATTCGCGTCAAGTCTATTATAAATTCGAGTCTATTCCCAAAATGAATGAATGCACGGGCATAAAACAAGACGATAAACACATCGCAAGAAGTGATTTTTCCTTTCAAGGGTCATTATCTCTGAGAAAATGCACGATTAGATAATAGTACGATTAATGAACGAGTAATGTTAATTATCGATAATGAGACACTCATTATACAATGACAGAATTAATCAATAAATCAGTAACAGTATAAAACAGTATAAAAGTGATTTACTAGAGATGTTTGATTAACTTCAAGTATATGTTTAAAAGTATTTTGCTCGAGTATTTTAAATTTTTACAAATCTAACGTGACATGAAAATTAATCTGATGTGTCGAAAGAATTAAATTTTTCACAATTGCCTTATGAAGACATAACACAAAATATTATTTAAGAAAGTTACTGTAGAATTTTAAAGGAAAGAAATATCGATGCAATCTTGCAAATAATCTGTTTTTCCATTTTATGACCGTGTATATATATTTGTCATTCTTAAATAAATATTTGCGCAGTGTGAAAAATAAAAATATATACTAAACTATTAATACATTTTACTAGTTTACCAGAGTTTTTACCTCGAGAAGCTCGAGTTATTCACTCTCGAACGAGAGATGATAAACTCGCGAGATTGTAAACTTGTAAGAGAGCATCTCTCGAGCACACACGCCCAGCTAAGATTTCATATTTCACGGAAAAGATGAGTAATATGTGCACATGTGTGAATAGAGCAAAAGCCACAAAGAATATATTCCGGAGGAAAACAATGCGCTTAACGAGCGCGCAACGACTTCTCATCAGCAAGGCGCAATTTAATACGCAAAGTCGGCGCGACACAAAAGAACTCCGAGCTGGCGAGCTCGTGTTACCGATCCGCAGTAAAAAAAAAGGCTCAAAGTTGACATATCAGAGAGAACAAAATCTGGGGAAGCCTTCGCAAGCCTCGTACTATTATAAATGGAAGTTAAAATACGAATAAAATTCAGAGATGAATAAATCAACTATTTATTTCAAGCTGTCCTTTAGATTTTTTAAAACTCAATGTTGTCCTTTATTTTTAATTTAGCATTTTAATGTCAAATATATGCCGTCAAGGATTTGTTTCAACACAGTCGAATTCAGTTTCAAAAATAATATAAATGAGTAAATAAAATAATTAAAATAAATATGCAAAATGTGTTGATTTTTGATAGCTGCGGAATGAGTTTTTGGCCGCAAACTAATTAAGAAACGTTGCAACAAAGTCCTAAAAATGTTCAGGCTCGTCCTTTAGCTTTCAGAAAATATGGTATGCATACGGGCACATAGCGGATATGTCGTGGCGGCCGGTCGGGTGAGGAATAGAGAAACAAAGAGAGAGAGAGAGAGAGAGAGAGAGAGAGAGAGAGCTGTCAAGCGCACGCCGGCCGCGCCGATCGACCTCGTGCACAAGACGAGAAACGTACGTGACGCGCGGATGTCGTCGTCTCCCGGGCGGCGCCGGCGTCGGCGTTGGCCGGCACGCGGCCGCTCGCGAGATACGCGCATGAATGAAACCGAGCGGAGCGACTCCTCTAAAGGAGAGCACGTAGGGTCAATCGGGGTATATAATCGTTGACACTTAGGAATAAAACGCGATCGTGGAATTCATCGTCGCGGCTCTTTTCTTTCGCGGTTTTTCCTCGAATTTCACGTTTGTCGTGCCGCAAAAACGAATTTTCATCGCTAGACGGAGAGAATTTTTTCAGAGTTTCTCTGACTACTATTTAATAATAAGAATATTAATTTATTTAATAATAATAACACATACACACAGAGAAAATTTTCTTTTAGAATTTATTTTGGAAATCATGGTCATCGTGAAACAATATGATATTGGAAGAATTTTATAAAGATTTCTCTGATTAATATTTAATAATAATAATATTAATAATAATATGTACATAGAGAGAATTTTTTTTAGAATTTATTTTGGAAATCAAATATTTTAGTAATCGTGAGACAATATGATATTGGAAGAATTTTATAAAAGTCTCTCTGATTAATATTTTTGTCACCAATAAAAATATTAATATCTACTACAATAAGATATAAATACGTTCCATTAATTTTACTGTGTACATATTAATATTTTTATTGTGGTAAATGTTAATTAGAAACACTCTTGTAAAATTCTTGCAATACTAATTGTAAATATATTAATTGTGTCCCACGATTACCATAAATTCCAAGGCAAATTCTAACAATAAGAGAAAATTCTCTCCGTGTATATATTATTATTAATATTATTCTAATTAATCCTATACAAAATGTCGCTAGAAAGATTTTATCACCAAAGATTGGAAAAAAGCAGACGGAATTTTATGACAAATTATGCTGGATGTGCACGTTGTATAATTTCTTGATTTAATTATAGACAGATGTAAAAAGAAGGAACGAATAAACTTTGTATTACGCTTTGTGATTTCGCGTCGAATCTTACAAAGCTCTTTTTTTTTCATTCTCATTCGATGACGCTAATGCCGGATTTACACGAAACCAGTAGGAGGTAAGTCAAATGACACGTTACTTTCACCCACACCTATATCATCATATTACGACTTTCCCTTTTATCGATTCTTTCTGCATATCTAGCATTGTAATTAATTGTAAGATTTTATGACATCATCAATATTTTTTTTTTTTTTTTTTTTAGAAAAATAGAAAGACTATCGTCTCTCCATGAAACATATAATAAATTTCCTTGCAAGAAAAAAGAAGCAGATATCTATATATATCTATTCTACTTTCTTTGTGGTTGGAACAATGTAAGGTGTAAACTTGCTATTAATTTCTCTATCAGATTCATGTAAATCCCGCTCTAACGCTTGATATCTATCGCGCGCTCTCTTTTTATAGAAAAAAAGCAACATGCATTATTTCATTAGTTTGTTCAACGCGAGAGGCGAACGAGGTGACTTGGCCGCCTCGCTTTTACCGGCTTCGTAATATATTCTCCGACTAATGCTCACAGCTTATATATCGTGTATAGATAGCGGGGAGGCAAGTCAAGTGGCAAATTACTCGTTTACCTTCCCCGACAAACGACGATACAAAAGTTAGCCATCTCGAGCTGCTTCATTATACGCGTTATTTTCCGGAATTAAACGGGTTATATCAATCAATTCACGGGGGTCTACATCAATTTGCGAACGAAACAAATGAACCAGCAATTTTTCACTCTACTCTGTATAGGTCGGTCACCCTTCACCGGCTTCACCAAAAATATATACAGGGTGTGTCTAAATAAGTGCGAAAAATTGTAGTAGACGATTAACAATAAGTTTAGATTAAAAATTAAGATTTTTCGATTTTTTTCTCAAATTTCAAGCAAATTTAAAATAAATTTTTTGTTCAAATTTTAGACAAATTAAAAAAATTAAACTTGGTGAATATTTTCCGTTTCATTTTTTTAATTTGTCTGAAATTTGAGAATACACGTTTATATATAAAAAACCTTCCTTAATTTTCGACACAGAATCATCTAAAATTTGTTGCACTTATTTAGACACACCCTGTAATATTCCATATTTAGGTTGGGAAAAATTAATATCCAAATAAGTGCAAAAAATTTAGATTTTCCGTCAAAAATAAATTTCGGAGAAATTAAAAAAATAAAGTTTGGATATTTATTAATATTTGAAAAAATAAAACCTGAATTTTTCCCTCCCTCTTAATACACGTTTTATATCGAGGAATCATTATTATTCCTCGACAACGAACGATGAAAAATTGATCGCACTTATTTAGACACACCCTGTATATATGTATATATTTAATTGATAAAGACTCACCGAGCAGCAACAACTTGAGCTCCCTCCTGGCATCCCGCTTGTCCCTCCGCAGCTGCCGCTCGATCTCCTGGTTGATCCGTTTCTGTTCCTTCGCCTCTTCCGACAGGCAGCACGCCATGGCTCAGGACAACGGAATCCTCCTTTGACGGAGGAAGCGGTGCCGGCCGAGAAGAAGAAGAGGAGGTGGTGGAAGAACGACGAAGAAGAGGCACGAAGAAAGGAAGATCGTCGACGACGTATAGGCGGAGAATTAGTAAAGGAGAAGGCGCAAAGTGACAGCAAAGTGACAGCTCGCCGACCGGCGGCGATCTTCGTTGCCGATGAACCCTGGGTCGTCGAGATCCGAATAGACGACGGGGATGGTTTGCTATCTCGCCACCGCGGCGACGACGACGATGACGTCTCGTCGCCGTCCTCGTGGTCCCCGTCTTCTCTCTCTCTCGTTCCCTCCAACTGTCAGAACTGTCAAAACACCACCTTCCACCACCCCCAACGACGACGACGATGACGGCGTCGCACTTACTCCTTCACCACCAGCACTGCCAACACTATCACCACCGGCACCACGACGACGACGACGACGACGACGACGACGACGACGACGGCGACGGCGACGACGGCGACGGCGACGACGGGGAAACGTCCCCGGCGACGCACCCGTGTTTTCCTCTCAACGACGGCGGCGTCTATGCAGCGCCGCTGCTCCTGGCGGGGCTCGACGACGCCAGCGACGCATCAACGCGCGTCTACGCGCACGCACACGAGCCCCTCGCGCCGCCTGTCTGTCGTCCTCCGCTGCGAGCTCTCGCGCGGTCGCTCGTCCTCTGCCTCGGTCTCTCTCTCCCACCGACGATATATATATATATATATATATATATATATATATATATATCTCTCCGATGATTGCTCACGCACACATGTAAATCACTGCGCACGTTTCGCCTTTCCCACGGACACGACGTGTAAAACGCGATCTCCCGACGACGAGGAGGGCGAGGTCCGTCTCGTTCTCACTCTCTCTCGCACCTATATACCTTCTTCTTTACACATACACAGGCAGAGACAGATAGATAGACACACGTACACGACACTCGCTGCTTCCTCTCTCTGCTTCTCTACTCTCTTCCCCCTCCGTGGATGGATACTTTTGGCGCACTTGCTCGGCGTGTGTACACCCTGGACGATGGATGGCGGGCGCGCGTTTCTCAGCCGCGGACGACTACTAGACGCACGGCGCGGCTAGAGAGAGGCGACGTTCGGCTCGCGCGCGGTGTTGGGTGTGGTAACCCACCGGCGCTCCGTCTCCCTCCTCTCTCTCGCGCCCTCTCTCTTTCTCTTTCGCTTCTTCTCTCCGTCCCGCTCCCTCGTCGTCGCCGCCGCTGCTGCTGCTGCTCCGAGAACTCCAAGACACGAGGACGAAGGCGGCATACGACACGTCAACGACGACAACCACGAGAGAGTTTTACCGCGATGTCTCCATCCACCTCTCTCGCACACATTAACTTTCTCTCTCTCTCTCTCTCTCTCTCTCTCTATCTCTGTCTGTTTCTATGTTGCTGCCGTTGGCTGCTGCTGCTGCACGAGCGCCCACACCTCACTAGCGGAACAACTCCTCCTTGCGACACGCGCCGCGCCCGTCCGGCGCGCAGCTTTTATGAAGCGTCGCGCGAGCCGAGAAATCCTGTTAGACCAAACCAGATTGGCGAAGCCCCGGCGACACGGCGAGCTAGCTCTCTCTCTCTCGGTCCGCTCGTGGCTGCGGCTGCCGCTGCGTATCACCGTAAGGGCGCGGGGGGCGCGCACGTGTCCGCTAACGAGATTAAAATCGCCGAGTAGGAGGAGGCGCGGCCGCCACCCGCCGGGGAGGACGCACGGTGGACGGAATGACTGTGGCGCTGTGGTCGCCCGACTCCCTGACGTACCGACCGCTTTGACAGGTGGCGCCTCGAAGGCGCGCGAAAATTCAATTTCTTTCTTCTTGTCTTATTCTAGTTACTCTTCTTCTTCTTTCGCGTGTTTTTTTGTTCTTTTTATTTTTCGTTTCCCTCGAAGGAAATTGATATTGAATTTTTGATTTAGTCTTAATTTTCAGGTACTCCTGTTAATTGTCCTGCTCCAAATCTTGATTCAATTTTTGCGATTTATTTAGCAAAATTTATGTATATGAATATTTGCGTAGGAGTTACGCTTGATGCTGAAAAAATACTATCAACATTGTACAATTTGTTCATTCTATACTTAATTTACATTGAATATCGTTTTGTAAAAAATATGGAATAAAACCTAAATTATAAATTAATATTTTTAAAATCGAGAACATTAAATATAGCATAAAAATCTGTTGATTTTTTTTCATCCGAATTTACATGCATCGTTTCTTTTTTTGCGTCTTAGAGAAAACACATGTCACAAAACCATTACCATTGTACGATGAGTGGATTAAGTTATTTCGAATGTGAGGCTTCACGAAGCCCATAATTCCGACAGATTTCTAAGACTTAATTCAATTCCTTAATTAATCAATAATTCTAAAATATGTTTGAGAAACGTCTTGCTTGTGCTTATTTTTTATCCGTGTGATTCTCTTTACATTTTTCGCATATTTCTTTATTTGTTTCTTCCTCGTGAAGAATGACTTTTCCTAAATATAAATGACATAAATAATAATTAAATAGAAAAAAATTATTCGCAGTTTATATATACTTGTTACAACACGAAAAAATACATAAATATATAAACAATATTTTATATAAATGTTTCATCTACTCTCTTTTTCTCTCTATATAAACATTTTAAATTGCTGTATATCGATTTTTTTCTTAATATTATATATATCATTTTAACAAATATATATTTTTTAAATATTATTACCTGTGTCTGTATCAATTTGACGTAAATTCATTGAGATTAATTCGAACAAATTCGCAGCATGCATATTATAGTTTACATCACCAAACAATTCCGCAATCTTGTGACAAAATTGTTGAAGGGCTTCCAACCGCCTTTAATTTCAGAGCCAATTTTGATGAAGTTCTCTCTCTTTTTAATATTTTAATTTATATTTAATTATATATAGTTAATAATAAAATATGATAAATACAAGTTAATTATCTTTGGTAATTCCTTATTTAAGAGCAATCTGCTTTGTTGGAAATCCTTCAAAATCCTATCGTGTTGTCTTTGCAGCTTCTCCATCTGCGATACAGACAGTCTCGAGTTCTCCAGCAAATTCCTAAAATTCGCGGATGCGAGGGAAAAGTCTTTCCTTTTATCCCAATGATCGTCCAATAGCGCACACATGTCTTTAGGGAAAATAATATTTTTGGAATAGCATTCCACCAATTCTCGCAAATTTGACATCCTTTTTTCTTTTTCAATCTCAATCTGGATGAAGGAATTATGGTGGGGAGCTTTTATTTATATACAATCCAAAGAAAGAAATTTAAAATAATCTTTCACAACAAAATAGCATTTTGTGTTTGAAGATGAAAGAGCTGATATCTTTGAAAGTGAATATAAGCCAAATTTTTTTAAAGGTTTATAAAAATGGAATATAAAATTTTTCAATCCTACTATTAAAATTGAATTGGAGTAATTGAAAATTAAACTAATTTAATTTTGTTTCTTTCTTTGTATTTAATATTTACAGATCAACATTAATTTTCGTAATTTTGAAATATAAAAGCGTGAAATTAAGTGCGCTTAAAAATTACCTGTTCGTGATACGATACGAAATCATTGTTTGTGTAATTTGCACTCGAAGAAGAATGACGTGCGAGTATGGCGTGACTCATATCGAACACTCTTTTCGCGGCGAGATACGACACTTGTAAGGATTGCATATGTTGAACAGCGGCTTCGAATACATTGCTGATTAAGCTCAGCTGCTGCATCAAGGTCGTCTGTTTATCGTCCATCGCAGCCTCTTCCACTTGGGTCCTTATCAAATATACTTGTAGAGTTGCCTGCAATTGTCGCGATTTCTATGTAAAAAGATACGTCCGTTACAAATTCTAGGATTGCATTCTAAATGTCATAGCGCTAAGCGTATTCATAAATATAAATTAAATGCCTTATAATTAATAATCGCTGAACGCCTCGACGATTTTAATCCGTTGCACTGTTCGCAGCAAATGCAGCAAGCGGATGTGAGTTTTTCTTGAGCCAGCAGATGCGAATGCGTAGAGGTCAGAAGGGGTGAATGGGCTCGTGAAGCTTTTTCTTCCTCTGATGTTGGCGCAGAATGCAAAGAAGAGTATTTATGAATGTAGGAGTTGCTCCATCTCGAATGAGGATTTCGTTCGCAAGATTGCGACATATCTCATACGTCTTACTTGAGTTTATCTCTAGAATAAATATTATGATTTTGCTGATGCAAATGTGTGATAAAAATATACAAGTTATCATATATGTTAATGTGTTACAAAATTCAAATTTGGAATCGCTTACTGATTATCTCATCAGCCATATCTCTCTCTAAGTAGACCTACGCCGTCAATGAAGGATATGTTAGAGGTTGACATGTGGCATTTGCGTGTGCTTTTACTTGTTGATCGTATTTTCTTCAAAATTTCTTGGGATACTGGTCAATGGATACTTAGGAACGATACATTTATTGTAGGCTAATAAATTACGTTCTAAATATTAACGCGCTGTATATATATATATATATATATATATATATATATTACAAACCAGTAGTTATTTATTATATAATCATCTTTTGCAAAAGACAATTAAGCGATAAATATGATACATTTCGTAAGGTTATAAAGATACGACTGACTTTGTTTCAATAAAGTAAAATAACAAGACGTAAAAATGACAAATGACATAACGATCGGTTGCTCCACTGCTACACTAAATCTGCGAATCTTTCGGTAAACTTTATAGATATAGATTACGTTATGAGCGCATAAAGTCTTTTACCGTCTGTATGTTAATATAATATAACATAATTTATTATATGTTATATTGTATTAATGCATGCATTAAAAAGATGAAGACATATTGCTTCAACTTTCATGTTTGATATTTTACATTAAATAACATCTTTGAATTATCAGGTATTTGTATACGTTATCAAAAATATCCGGTGGATAATTAGTGAATAAATTTCTTTTGTTCTTTTTTTTATACGTTCTTAATATTTAAATGCACATCTCCCACTTGGTATAAATACTTTGATGGTATAATTATATAATTAATATTGCACATGTAATTTAAATTGCAAGCTCAAAGGAATGAAATAATCCATTCAAGATCTTTCGAATACAAATTCCACACATATATTTTATATATAAAATTTCTTTTTTTTTTCTTTCCTTTTTGAATTTTATGATATTTTTCAACTTAATATTTTTACCAGGGGAAACTCGATAAAATCACAAAACTTGTTAATAGCTTCTATTAAATTATTAGTGTGACAATGGATCAATCCTCGAAAGTAGCCTTTCTTATAAAAGGAACAATCCAACTTTCTTATATTTTCTGCGCGTTTTATAGCATAATCAAATAAACAGACACACAATATATCAAGTAAAGAAGCTGAAATTGATATTCTCTCTTAATGCTATTCTGTAAGTATATATGTATATATTATTAGAACACTATTTATTACACAAGATGTGAATACAAGTTTATTTTCGGCAGATCTAACGAGTATTGATCGAGTCTACAAAAGTTTCGGTTTGTTACGTATTCGTTTTCTACTTCATCATGAATAGATACGGGAGCGATAATAATTATAGCGATAATAATAACAATAATAATAATAATATAATAATAAACGCTCTCTTGTCGCTGCCCAATTTTCTACATACATATACATAAAATTGCGAATACAAGTGAATAAAACTTGCAAAATATTTCATTGATAAAGTTTATACTCCAAAAAGGGGAAAGACAGAAAAAAATAAGCATAAATAACTCAAAAATCTATACTCATCTCATTTATACATCGTAATATTCATCTTTCTCTTACGTATCACCTGATCACGATATCTATTATTACGTCGTTGAAAAATTTGGCATTTGGCGAGAAGTTTAATGGGATCTATCGCTAGAATCTTGAACTGTAGGCGAGTAAATAATGTAGAATCTTATATTTTACGAATGCAGATACGTAGTTGGACCTTGAAAATTTTACGGCTTACCTCTCGTTGAATGAGAAGGGGCTTTTCACACACGTCGCTCTTAAACTTTAAGATATATATCTCTTAGTGATCCTCTCTTTTCAGCGGCCACAAAGTTATCTCGTAAAATACTCTTAAGTAATATATAGATCTATGTACAATTTCATAAAATAATATTAATTTAATATATACCTTTCGTGTTTTTTTTTTATATTATTATAGTAATGTATATCGTTGTGTACATGTAACGTGTGTTTGTTTGTATATGTGTGTGTTACAATATATTAGTCGCTTAAATATCTCATTTGATTATTATTTCAAAATGTGTATTCGTACTCGTTTGATATGAGAGATTTAATCCCACATTTTTGACGAATAAGAGTGAATGTTGGCACAGACAGTGGCTGGGTTAAAGGCACTTTGGGGTGATTGATTCTCTCCGCAGTACCGTCCAGCATAACTATCTTATCGAATTCCCCGCCCCCTCCCCCTTACGCCTCCTGCAGCCCGTCGCCTGACTCTTTTCAATTCGCTTTTACCTATATACGTCGAATGATCGCGCGCGACTCCTCTTATAATATGTATCTCCCATTTAATAACGTGACTCTTTCTACCTTAAAGTAAAATACGCTGTCTCTGGTGAGCATTGGAGTGTGAATGGCGAACCGACTACAGCCCTCACAGCGGTTTCGTGAAATTTGCTGGGAACATACCCTTCTCGTTGGTGCCTTCCTTGATACCCATCAACCATCCTTCTTCCTGCAAACAAATGCAACAGTATAAGAGAGAGATCTAACTTTAGCGTCAGATATTTTCACGAGCTGTATACAGTTCGATTCATTACAAACCTGTTCCTCGGGATCATCATATTCCACAACGCGAATGATCTCGCCGACGTCAAACGACAGCTCGTCCACGTCCTCGCGATTGTATTTATAAGTCGCTTTAACCCTGTACAAAACACCCGGCGGCAGATTGTCGGTGGTCGCCCCTACAGAGAAATTGGTAGCATTTTCATATTCCGCTTCTAGAACGACCGAGTCCGCCCCGTTAGTCATGGACCTGCCTGTGATTTTGTTCGCATGGAGACTTTGATATGTACCAAATGTTTATGTGCAAAATTTCATACTTTATATATATATATATATATATATATATATATATATATATATATATGTGTATATCTATACATTAACATTTTTCATTCCACAACTAGATCAAATTCGTTACGATCTTCTTGTTTCGGCAAGACCATGCACAAAGGGGCAGGTATACTAATATTACATTAATAATCCGATGCTGCAAATTTAATAACATTCGATTAATTGTGCCATGTGTTACGTATATTTGAAACAATACACTGACCTCAATCTTGCGAAAACAAATTAATCAACGATTATAAAATATCATGCATTTAGTTTACTTTTGTAAACTGTAATTTAATTATTTTATTTTAACGAAACTTGTTTATTTATAATTGCAGAAAAATATGAAAAAAATCTATGAGAGAAAAAATTCAATTCAAACTATTGAGAAAGTTTGTTCACAAAGTTTGTCTCGACATCATCTTATACATATTCGACAAACTTTGTTAGGAAGAAAAGCACATTTACAAATTGAAGTTACGCGAGCGACTTACCAACTGGAATATCGTACAGCTCCTCGACTTGTTTGGAAGGCGGGACCGCGTTCTGTGGCGACGCATCCTGATTATTGAGAGAATTATCATTGCTGTTAGCATTGCTGTTAGCGTTGCTGTTAGCGTTGCTGTTAGCGTTGCCGTTTATCTGGGTGGTCGGCGACGTATCTCTGGCGGCGGGCGCGGTATCATCCAAAGCTGAAACACGCGAGAGAAAGCGCACTCAAAAAACTGGATGGCCAGCCATAACATGGTCTTGTCAAAGCCGTCGGGGACAAGTCCTGTGTCTGTTCTACGCGCGTAGCGAGAACGTTACAAGACATGCATGTATTAGTGCAACATGTATGTAATTAGTACACGCGACGCGTACAAAACAAACTTGAATAAAAACGTGATAGAATAATTACCTCCTGAAATATTGTTCTGTGATGGTTGCGTGTTGATTATTAGGCTGAAACAAATCAGAATTATGTAACTCTTATGTCTCTGTTAATACATTTTGTTTGTATAATTACTATTATTGGTATATATAATTATTATCGTGTTTTATGCAACAATTCTTATTCAAAATATTATATTTTGTATTACTAATTATACTTTTAGCAACGTTACATCTTGCGTTTTATATAATTCGGATTTAAACTCTGTTTTATATAAATAATCTTTCAATATATTATTTTTTATATAATTTCTATATCTATATTATAAATTTAACTTTACAGAATTGGTTTACTTACGACGAGTTCGCGTTAGGCGATTTCGGCGATGGAAGTTCCGTGTTCTTCTTAAGCGTGTAAGATCCTCGCTGACTTTCATTAGCCAATTTATCGACGATCGCTTCTAATTCCGAATATACCTAGGTACACGAATGGAAAAGATATAAAAATGCCATTGCAATCTTCTTATACATATATCCAAGATTTTAAAAATTCGATAAAATATAAAATATATGAAAATATAAAAATATATATATATATAATATAAAAATATATAAAATGTATTAAAATTCTGTTAAATTAAATCTAATTCTATTACACCGAGATTCACGCTTCTTTCAGGCAACTATAAATTAGATTACCTTGGAACTTTCAGTGTGAAACACTTGCTCCGCGGCGAAGAGCGTCTGCAGATTAGTGACGAGGAAAAGAACGCGCGAGTCATATAACGCCGGCAATTCGTCGTGCAATTCGGAATTTAGTTGCTCGTATGTACGTTTCGCCTCCTCCAGCAGTTCCTTCCCTCGGGACACTTTGAGCTCGTCCCTCTTCTTTGGATTGCACTGCAGGGATTGGAAGTTGTGTCTTTGACTGTCGTAATCTACCAGCTTCCGGCCGCGCTTGTCGACTTTTTTCTAGAAACAAATAAAAACTTGAAAGCGTTGATGCAAGACACATTATCATAAAAATTGTATAAGATGTAGGGAAAAATTCTTTATCTATGTGCTTTTATCTTTACAATAATATCTCAATGACTTTGCAGTATCATTTCCTATTCATTATAAAGGAAGTATAAACAAGCATTTATTAAAATGGATGAGTCAAGATATAAAAATGGTATGATCTAGCAAGTATGTAAAAGAGAAAAAGAAAAAGTACTAATTTGTATATTAATTTAATTTTCATTAAAATATCGAGTCTATATATTATATCTATTTTTCCTGAAAAATTTTGCAACAAAATAAATTTTATTTTATCGTCGATAAAAAATCGCAATTTAATGTAATTGTAAAAAAATGTAACGTACCCTCATCTCTGGGAATTGGCTTTGATATGTGTTGAGTGGCACGAGAACCTGGTCCGCGAGCTTGTGAGTGAAATCCTGCCACAGCATGTCGAGATTTTGTGCTTGCACGTACAACAGATCGTGTCCAGTCCATTGGCTCTCGTAAATTTCGTTCAACGAATCCATGAGCGTCTTCGAGGCAGCTTGCACAGCTGAAAAATTAAATGCAAGCATTGGTTTTCGCTTTTTTTTAATTAAGGTCTTTTTAATTATTGCTATGAATGTGTGAAACTGTCGCGCATAGCCGAGACTAATTTTTAATAGAGAAAAAACTTTTTCAAACTCAAAGACTCATAATGCGGTCATTAGGAGAGACACGAAGCTATTTTGTAAAGTCGTGGAGAAACTTTTTCACGCCGATTTTTCACAGGTGACACGTGTCTTTTTACTTCAGGAATACACACGACGCGGGTGACTACTTTCCTGACCTACATCTAAACCTCTTCTCGTACATTCACCTGAGGCGATAAGGCGGTTGTTAACAAATTCCTCGCTTTAGCTCGCTGCAAAAGTTGCGAAGTGGCTGTCATTCGCGTTGGATTTCGCGTTGACGAGTATTTAATTCGAATCATAACGAAACGATATGAAATCAGAATTCTATGTCGAGTTGATCTCTTCTACTTCTTTTCACCTCTTATAAATCGATGTCTCATTATTTTTAAATACTATAACATTGCTCTTTTATCAAAAAGAGTTTTGGTTGGATTACTGTATAAATATAATGCATTTGATTTTTAATTTTTTTTGTAATTGAAATCATATACATATATAACCAATATGTATTACAATTAGTTTCCTCTATATGTTCTAGTAAAATAAATCAAGTTATATTCTAGGAGAAAATATCAATGATTCAAGGAAAATACACGGAGAGAATTTTCTCTTAGATTTATCCTGAAAATTATGGTAATCGTAGGACAATATGATATTGCAAGAATATAAAAGCTTCTTTGATTAATATTTACCACAATAAAAAATATTAATATGTACATAGTAAAATTAATCAAACTAAAAATATTTTATACCTTATTATGGTATATTTTAGTATTTTTTATTGTGGTAAAATATTTAATCAGAGAAACTCTTATAAAGTTCTTCCAATACCATATTGTCTCACAATCAGCTGATTACCATGATTTTCAGGATAAATTTTAGGAGAAAATTCTCTTTGTGTACATAAGTACGAAAAAATTATGAGTATTCTGAAAAATTCACTGCGTATAAAATAATCATATTATTTAAAATAAAAATAATTAAATAAAGTTAATGCGCCGCTATATCTCTTAAATAAAATTACATTATAAATCAATTTTGATTAATGCTACATTATATGCATATAAAATTGAATCACGATAATCATTGAAGATATCATTCACGAGCGCTAATTTAACATTAGTGCAAATTACGGTAAGCAACTACCGCAATTTTTAGCGTAATTATTTTTTTTCAAGTCTTAGGTCTTCAATTTGTAGCCAACGAGCTATGTGCACGTGGTCGTTAGTTTTTTTTCCCCTTAGTTCATCACCTGGAACTTGGACTTGTGGACACGGAGCGCGTAATGATAAAAATTGCGACGATGAATCGTCGGCGATACGACTTGTAATACGTTGAACATGCACTTTCGTCGTGTTTTTCCCGTTAACGTTACCGCGACTTTATGGCGACGAAACTCGCCGACTATTTATCGACAGATTTCACATTCGGCTTCCGCATGCGGGTATTTATGCGCGTTGCGTCCCGCTTTTCGAGCGACAGAAGGAAAGCTGAGAGCCATTAACGCGGATTCTGGAATGCTCCAAAATTAATACTCCCGTTTGAGGAAATCGCGATTGCATTTGCTTAACGGCACCTGCGAATCGTGTACATTTTTTCCTACATCCCTGATTTTTTATTTTATTAGAACATAAAGAGGAAACTAATTATATATTATATATTAGTTGTATATGTATATAATTTCAATTACAAAAAAAAAATAAAAATCAAATGCATTATATTTATAAATTGGAAATTGTAAAACGTTTGCAAATATCGACGTCGCTGGTTCGACCAAGTATATAGAAACGTTGTTCGCGACTAACTCGAGTGGGATTAAAGATCGAATGACATTTCTACTATTGATTTCGCGCGTGTTTGTCAGTCTCGTCAGTGTCGAGGCTCGCTATTAAAATAAGAGAGATAGAAATCACGAGTGCACCCTTAGGTCTTCAACTTTTAAAGTATATAATCCGAGAAGCAGTTAGAAATACCTCAGAGATGTGAAAGCTCTTTAGCGTCACCTAAGATTGACATCAATATCTATGTATATATAAAATTTTCTCCTATATAATAACAAATTTATATATATGATATTAGTGCAAATAATAATTGATATTACAATGGATTTCTGTTACAATAATATATTACGATATATGGATTATACTCTTGTCAATTATTTTCATTATAAAATATAATATTAAATCTCGTATAAAAGGGGTAGCGCAAGTGTAATTAATTTTCTGTTAAAATCTGGACATCGAGAAATTGATAAATGCACTAAAACAAAATTGATTGAATTCGAATAAATATTTATTTCGAGACTGTCTAATAAATTATTTATTTGAAACTATTATAATAATATTGATTTGATGTAAAAAATATTTATTTGATATAAGAAAATCCTTTTCAAAACAGATAAATCTTTGTTTCAAATAAATGATTTATTAGGCAGCATTGAGATAAATATTTATTAATTTAATAATTCTTTTTTTTTGGTGTACATACATAATTATTTTGTTATCATCCAGAGTATTGGAAAATTCACGAAATTGACTTTATCAATTTTCATAACTACGGCGTATCAATTATTCAGCTGGTGATGCATACTTACGTATATGCTCGCGTATATATATTGCTATCTTATCTAAAATATATTATCACGGCAGACTGTTTAATATTTCGGGTAGACCGACTGCGAATTACGCGCGGAGAATTTATTTCTGCCGAGTCTTAAGATCGTCGTTTTATGTGCATGTGTGATACGTGGGAGATATGCCTACGTGCATTATTGAATATACAAGCGATTAAAATATTACATCGCTTCCTTCCGATAATAATTGATGGTAAGTCTGCGCGGTCATTATTCAATGTCTACTCGTTATTCATCCATTCGTCATTCATCCGTGATAAAAGTGTTGGAAGATAAACAATGATTTTTCCGATTGACCATAACAGGCTTTCATTAAATTAACCGAATTAATTTAATATTAGCGAACGAAGTTTTTAAATAACATTTTTTGACATTTATTATGTAATAGAGAATCACTTATAATTATATGTATGTATAACTCTTTAAAATTTAAAGTAATTTTTATATCATAATATATAGGAACTTGCAATGAATTCAGAATGCATCTGGGATAATATTGCAATTTATCGAGCTAAACGCGTGTATTGATAGATACGTATTATCTTTGTAATTCGCAAAAAAACACGAGGACAAAGTACATAAGTAAGTCAACCTCCATATGAATTTAAAACAACCAGGTCACGGTAACGCAAGATTGCCCGAACAATTATTTTCTTTTAATATCGCGTTTCGCAGAAATCAGTTAATTCAAACGCTGATCATATAGATAAAAGTCAAAAAGTACATCAAAATTTTTTGAAATTCACGAAAAATATATTTAATATTTTTGTATAAATTTGTATTTTTAAAGAAACCTATACATATTTATGTGTTTATATGTCTAATTAAATTTAATAAACTAATATATATATATATATGTTTACATACAATATCTAATTAAATATAATAAATCGAAAAAATATTATTGAATTATAAAGCTATTCAAGATATTGACTTCTTTTGCTAAAAAAAATGAGTAATGTATGAATAGAATTGCTTCTACTGTAATTTGTGACTATGATGCAATTTGAATTTTTTATGCTAGTTTAATCTCCTAACTATTGCTAAATTACTGCTTTATATAAAGTTTTAATGCCACATCAATATATTTCATATAATATGTTACAGGTTGAGTAGATAAATAAATACTAATTACTCAAAGGTTAATAAGATATTTAATCTCGTTGACAAATGTCACCATACATTTGCCGACGAGATTAAATATAATTATTGCCACATTTAAATGAAAAAAAATCTTTTTAGTGAAATATTAAAAATTGTAAATTCAATTATAAATCTATTTCATTTTTTTTTATTAATATAAGCTTAGTATTTTCCTGTACATTTATGCACATCTAAATCAGGAGCGTTAGTTCGCTTAATAAAAAATGACCATCGTTTAAAGGAAGGACGCGCCTTACCTCGAACACATCTGATGTAATTGTTAAACTCCTTTTGCAGTCTGTTGGCGGAGTTTTGCTGCCTCGTAAAATTCTGTAGATGTTCATCGAATATATCGTCTGCAGTTCGATCGACCTTGCCTAAATTTTGAAGGAACTGTAACGAGAAAGAAATGCATTTTCCATTAGTTCCATTATATCGTACTAAAATTGTAATTTTAATATGCGTGAATAATAATTTTTAAAAATTATAATATACACACAACAATACATAAAATAATAATATAGTAGGTAAATATATTTATATAAAATTTATTATATGTGGATATAAAAGAGTAAAAGTTTTATACAATACTTTTATATAAATGGTGGACTAATGAAACATAAAGTGAAAGAATACAACGTGATTTATTGAATGAACGTATTTAATCGAAAAGCTTTCTGAAGTCGAATGAAGCTTGTGTGGGTTTCGTTCCCATAAATGAGTATTTTGCGTAGGTGTAAAGTACCTCTATATGAGATTCTCAACTTTTCTCTCTTCAAACTTTTCAATTTAATCAACTCTCAGAAAAAAATTCAAATATAATTTAATGCGAGTAGGTCTCTAATTTTTTTTCATCTAAAATGTATTTATTTTATATATTATGATCATCTTCGAAAAAGATGACATTTCTTCGTCAAATTGATTGTTTATAATTATTTATAATATTTAGCCTTTTGATTTTTTACCATAAAAATCGAACATCATGTATATTTCATATATATGTATATCTGTGGTTGAATATAGAAATGCGGCCAAACGATGTTTATGAATGTCATAAATGAGGCCTTTGAACCGTCACAAAATGATAAACACTGCCTGTATCTTTAGAAAATTCGTGATATCTTACCTATATAAATTTGTTAATTTTAAATTTAATCATTTCGCAAATATTATGTATAAAAGTATTAAAATTGCACACATGTTGTTCTAAATAATAAATTATTTAGTTCATAAATATTTTATAAATTTAATTCTAATTTAATAGACAATAAATAAATTTAAATTATATATATTTTCGACGAATTTCTTCATAAAAGAGTAATAATAAACTTTTGCACAAAAATAAAACAATAGCAAGTAAAATAGTTATTTTATCGAATACGTGAAACTGATTTGTATCTACCTTACTTTCCTGGCTTCTCGTAGCCAATTTAATAAAGAAATCTATTAAAGCCGCTGTACCCCACTACTACTATTGTTATCGGCAATAAAGCGCGACGCGTTGTGAAAGGATGCGGATGATGTAACAATAGCTATCGACCGCGGAGAAATTTCATGCTGGGAATGCTATTCGTTCAGTTCGATTTTCATTTATAGCTCTCTGTAGCACCTGTTCGATTTTCAATGACTCGCCTTTCCGGGAAATTACGTAAAACAAAACTGCAGAATCGGAAATTCTATTACTTTTTAAATTTCGGATCGAACAGTTTTTGACGTTTATTCAAAATGTGACGTATTCAAAAATATAAAGAAAATCTAGTTTCATTTTTTTGTTGTTCGAGTCTAAAAAAAATTGTAATAATTCCACATCGTTGCCTTTTTTGGTGGAAAAATTTTTTTTTAAATATATAAAGCATAGAGAAATAGTTTTTGATATTTATATAAAAATATGACGTATATTCAAAAATATAAAGAAAATCTAGTTTCATTTTTCTATTGTTCAAATCTAAAAAAATTGTAATAATTCTACATCGTTGCCTTTTTTGGTGGAAAAAAATTTTTTTTTTAATATAGAGCATATATAGAGCAAATAATGTATTTAAAGAGCGAAGCGTTTTAAATGGACAAAAATTAAACGAAAAAAATATTATTTCGCGTATTAAGTGAAATATATACTTGAAGTATCCTGTACAATAAAACGTGATATATCAAGGATTGTTGAACGCTATAAGAAAAATGCTGTCGGCGGCATCTCTCTTGGGCTGGGTCAGTAATCAAAGGCTGGAACGTTCGCGATGGAAATCACGAGGCATTGCGTAACCACGTCTATCGCTAACTCTATTCGCGGAGAGCCTAGTGATCCATCCGCGAAGGTAAGAGGTGCGCCGACCTTCTGCTCTTCGTCCCAGGAAAACAAGGAGATCGCGCGCACGCGTGTCGTGATATACCACTCCATTTCCGTTCTTTAGTTTTCCATCAATTAATCGCACCGATTACACGCCGTGCGAATCTTGTAAGGAGATAGAATGACAAATGCTCGGGACGAACTAGTTAATCTTTCTTCTAACGTCACCTTAAACCATACTTGTGCATACCGCAAGTTGAAAGTTTGCAATTTACAGACTCGCACGGTGCAATATGCATTTTCAATAATTCCCAAATTATTAATCCTTATCACTATAGTTATTAGAATAGGAGAGTAGAAATAATCGATCAAAACTAACGTAATATTTCGTTTATTAAATTCACTACGTTTCGACCATGTGGTTGTGGTCCTTTTCAAGCGAACACTAAAATATATAATTATTAATATACATACATCAATATATGACAAAAATTGAAACAATAAAATTACAATAATATATATCATTAAATTAAATCTTCATATTATATATATATATAGTAATACTGTTCGATAATTATTAAACTATAAATTATATAAAAGTATTACTAATATGAAGATTTAATTTAATGATATATATTGTAAGTAATTTTAGTTTATTGTTTCAATTTTTGTCATATATTGAATTGCGTATATTAATAATTATATATTTTAGTGTTCACTTGAAAAGGACCACAACCACATGGTCGAAACGTAGTAAATTTAATAAACGAAATATTATGCTAGTTTTAGTCAATTATTTTTACTCTCCAATATGCATTTTGTGACAAATTTACATTTGGAATAATGAATAAAATTAATCATGTGAGAGAAGTGGCTAATTAATTTTTTTTAGAAATTGTATCAAGATTTAATTTTCGTTAAATCATTACATAAAATTAATGAACTGACAAATAATGTTGTGACTTTGATTATCAAAATGACATCAGCTATGAAACAATGATATTATTTTTATTTAGCTCACTTGTGTTGTGTGGCTAAAAAAGTCCATCATAATGATTCATAATTAATATTTGAAACTGATATTCTGATAAAGAAATTGATATATGATATGTTATATATAAGAAGACAAAAAGAAATAGATAATATAATATAATATTAAAAAAGTCCATCATAACGATTCATAATTAATATTTATTAAAACTGATATCCTGATAAAGAAATGGATACATATCTCTCTCTCTCTCTATTAAAACGTGACATAGTATAACATCAATAAAAATAAACAGATGATATACATCAGGGACGCGCGAGACATCGCAGCTGCGACAGTAATTATGAGATCCACACGTTTAATTACGTTTATTCAACAAAGAGAGTAGCTAATAAAACGCATGTGTCCGGCCCATGTTTCGTCTGTTATCAGAGGCACAAACGTTTAAATGAATTCTTTCAATCGTTTCTATGGCGTTATTAAGGATGGTTGATCCGCGCAACGATGTTATTTATCACGTCTTTCTGCACGGCTTTATTCCGAGACAGAACGATCTTCTATTTATGGAGAAAAATTATTCACGGAAGCACAAAATGCAGAACTTAAAATTGAAAATGACTCGGTATCATGTGGCATTAAAAATGATTTAATTTTTACCTTTAAATAAAAATTTTTTTATATTAAAATCCTATAAAAAATGTTTACATAAAAATATCTAGCGCGTAACATTATTAAATCGTTTTATTACAATTGTGCGTTAATTGGTCGGAATATGCGTGAAATATATCAAGTTGCAATTTGAATATAATAAGCTCAATCGCAACAGACTTACAAGGTGCCAGAGAGCCAGATTAAGCCTATTAACTTTCGAGTCAAGATCGTTTCCTGTGTCTGTCGTATATAATTTTCTCTGTGCAATCTTAAAGGTACTCTATATTGCTGCAATTTTTTACTCCGTCGAATTGAAAGAGAGCAGCGAGAAAAAAATTTGGATTTTTTTTCTCGCATACTTATTTTTCTCGAATATTATGTGTATATTAAAAATAGATTATCTTCGATTTAATCTTTTATGAATCATCGTGTGAAACCCACTTTCGTCGCGAGATAAGTTCGGGCGTGTCCATATTGGTGAACAAAAATAATGTCACTGGAATGAGTCAGATGAGACGATGCTGAGAAAAATTTCGTCCCGCAAGCTGCACCAGTTGAATATGCAGATATATATTCGATATACGGTATATTCGTTATACCGTTAAGCATCGTGATGCTTCGCGTAATATTTGTTTTATGGAAAATAACGCCCTAAAACTTGTTATTCGTAAATACAAGACATAAGCGTAACATCCTTTTTCTGTTATAATCGACATATGTTTGTTATTAATCGTATTATATAATTTCATAAAAAGTCGAAAAAGTTATCGGATCTCATCGCGGTCATGATTAAGTTTTATAAACCGGGACTAATATATACAACCTTGATTAGATACGTATAGATGTTGAGTCTCGCGTCATTGACCCGGCCTACTGTGCACGCGAGTGTTGACGTTTTTACTCTCTCATGTGATGCGAGACACGATTTTTGTCACGATTCCGTATGCCTTCGCGTACCGTTATTCAGTTAACGTAGGTTCCATTCGATACTTTGTAGCAAGTGAGAATGAAGACTGAACTCGAAGCCGACTTACATACACAATGCATGTAACATTTAATAAAAAATATCGAGATGATACAAGAAATCAACGCAAATTTTATTTTAAAAAATAATAAATTAATATATATGTGTGTGATTCTGTAAATTTTATGAGATCTTTCAGATTCTACAAATCTCTCTTGTATAACACACTGAAAAAAATTATTAAATATTTATTTTAATATCGCCTAATAAATTATTTATTTGATTTATTTATTTAAATTATTTAAATTATATAAATTATTATATAAATCATTTATTTCTTTAATAAAGAATTTTTTTTCTTAAAAAATTTTTTATTTTTATGTAATTGATTTATTTGAAACAAATGTTTCACATCAAATCAATATTATTAATTTCAAATAAATGATTTATTTGGCAGTATTAAAATAAATACTTATTCAAATTCAATAAAAATTTTGTTTCAG